TATTATTATTTATTTCAATTACAATATTATAGTTTTCGTTTCTATAATTTCCGTCTGCATTTCAGAACGTTCGTCTATGGAAGCCAACGACACATACATTTCACAGCGTTGTCATCGTGTCTTTTTCTATATTTCTTGTGACATAATGGTTTGTCCCAATAGTAGTCTTTTACTTACTTTACCGTGTCTTGATCTTGAATATTCATGACTGTGACTTCACAGATGCATCAGTTGTTTCAAGAGAAATTATTCTTAATAACGCTGTCGTGAACAGATGTTTTTCAACATGCTTAATCTGTTTTTATAGATGGATTACTGTAAGGCTTGTCCCAATAAAGTTTCTTCAGTAATGCTACTATGAATATATCTCCTATAATATACTCTATCGCACCCAACTCCGGCCTCACGGATGCATTACTGTATTGTATGTCCAAGGAAGGCTTACTTCTTTTCAAATCTTCCTAAACTTGCATGATTCCGACTTCACAAATGCAACACTGTATAGCTTGTCCAAACAGAAAACTTATCTTCAAAAACAGTAAAGTTAACGTATCTCTTTAAATATATTCCATTGCATCAATTCTGATGAATAAGGATAATTATAAGAATGACGGTTGAGTAAGGATAAATCATTTATTGTTTGTTAAATAAGTACTGAAGTCTTTAGACCTGTTATACCGAAAATTTCTATGGTTGGCCTATGACTGTTAAGTTATAAATGGAACCTACATGTTATAGATAAACACTTTTTTAGAGAAAGTCAATAGTATCATCTTTATTCTGTTAGGTATTGATCCAGGTATGCAATGTTAAACATATTTTGGTGCTTTTTTTCTGCCCACTCCAGAACCTTTCACTTATTAAATTATATAAGTGGTGTATATATTGAATTTTAAACAAATCAATTATTTTACTTTACATTTGCTAAAAAAATAAGCTTCGTCCTTTTTATCGTTATCCTTTTGCCCACATATCCTTTACGTGCTTTTAATAATTTATTTTCGCGTCGAATTAAAGATAATTTTGTGGAAGTCAGCTGTTTCTGGCTGCAGTTTAAACGTAATTGGCTCATTGCATTCCGTTCTTTTGAGCATGAAATGAGGAAAATTTCTGCAAGGATTGCACATTTGTAATTTTTAATGCAGGTTTGCTTTCTTAGTGCCATCGGGATTCCTTATACATATATCACGCCTTGCGATTTTAGCATTTCTTTTGTGCGATAACTTTTTAAATTTACGTTTCAATATAAGAAATTCATTTAAAATTTATATTTTTCGTTAATTAAAGCTTCATTTAAGATATTTTGTGGAAACCCACAGAATTTATTTCGTTATTTTTTTTACTATATCACAATTTACTTTAACTGATGTTTGCATTTCCAACACTGAAATATTTACGCTTAGGATTAGGTTTACAATCACCTTATGAGTAGAACCCATTAAATAATGTGTGTTCTTAGTGTGTGTGTGTTCGGATTATAAAGAAAATGATTTTAATGTTAAAAACAAATCACTTCTTTAAGCCGTAATATCTTCTTTTCTTTATCCAAGATATAACTGTCTGAGATGGACGAATGCTTGGCTTACCACTTTTCTTCATAGATATTTATCTGCTGCCCCCGTTTCATAGCTATGTACTCACTTTGCTCCTAATAATTTGTCGACCTATCTCTTTAATGAATCATCGTCTATCCTCTTTCCTGATAAGCATTCTGACAAATTGCATTGTTTACAAACATTGGCAATGGTGATGGTTTATGGGTTAGGCTAAGGCCTTTATGC